GGCCAGCTCTCTGCTGTGGCCTGGGAAGGCAGTGGAGGATGGCCCAAGTGCTTGGGCCCTGCGCCCCATGGGAGACCAGGAGAAGCACCTGGCTCCTGCCTTCGGATCAGCGCGGTGCGCCGGCCACAGCGCGCCAGCCATGGCGGCCATTGGAGGGTGAACCAACGGCAAAAGGAAGACCTTTCTCTCTGTCTCTCTCTCTCTCACTGTCTACTCTGCCTGTCAAAAAAAAAAAAAAAAAAAAAATAATAAAAGATTAAGTCCAGGTGGTAAGCAGTGGAACTAATTGTTTGTGATTAGCCTTATATTTAAGCTGCACTGTTATCTCAGTAAACATAGTAGAACTCAGTGGTATCAGAGGCTGGTTTTTTTTTTCTAAGATTTCTTTTATTTATTTGAAAGGGAGAGTTACAGATAGAAAGAGAGAAAGGGAGGGAAAGAGGGAGGGAGAGAGGGAGAGGGAATCTTCCATCCGCTGGTTCACTCCCCAAATGGCGACAATGGCCAGGGCTGGGACACGCTGAATGCCAGGAGCTTCTATTAGGTCTCCCATGTGGGTGGCAGGGGCCCAAGCACTTGGGCCATCTTCTGTTGCTTTCTCAAGCACATTAGCAGGGAGTTGGATTGGAAGTGAATCAGCCTGAACTTGAAACGACACCCATATTGGATGCCTGCATTGTAGGTGGCAGCTTTATCTACTGTACCACAGCACGAATCCCTAGAGGCAGTTCTGAGGGTTCTGTGGAGGTTCCTACAGCTGAAACCTGGGAACCTAACTCATTCAGGCTCTGCAGCTCCTCTGGCAAAGTCTGCCTGAGAGCTGCAAATCTATCACTTGTATCACATCAGGCAACCTCTCACCTCCAGAAGTGAGCTCTGCACCATGTCTGGAGTCTTATCAGAAGCGCTCGGATACTGGCCATGTTTCTTGAGGGGATTTGGGGCCATGTGCAGGCTGAGTGCCTCTCTCTTGTCCACATCTCCAGGACTTCCTGCTGTTCTTTAGCCTGTGCACAGTTTATTTTGGGCTTCAAGGCTTTGGCACACACCCAAAGCTGGAAGAGGATGCTAATGACACCGAAGTGGCACCAGGTGTTTTGTGCATCCACAGGGATTAGCAGCTCCTGGGAGGCAGCGATCAGATTTCTTTGGGAAGTCTGTGCACTGAAGAGAGAAGGGCAACAGAGCAGAGAGCAAGGACGCGGGCTGGGTCACTCTGTCCGGGGAGTGGAACCAGAGCTCCCTGCGGAGGGGCAGCCTGTGTACAAATATGGAAGAGAGGCAGTTTCTGGCTTGCAGCTATCACCTGCCTACTATTGAGTGGGGTGTGTGTGTGTCTCTGGATGGACACGCACGCTGAACCAGTTGCTGTTTTTCCAAACACGTGAAGAACTGGAATGCACCTCCAGAGTTCAGAATGTGCTTTGCGTGAGATAATGCTCTGTTTATTCTTAACCCTGGATGAGGCACTGCTTAAAACCATGTCTACTCTTAGGCTTCCATAAGGGCAGACACAGAGGCCCTGCCCAGCAGAAATGCAACAAGAGTAGGGTGAAGGTTGCTCGTAGCCAGAGACAGGTGGGATTGGTTTTAAGCATACAATGTCATTTAACCAATAGATCTAAAAGCAGATTTTACATTCTTCCTCTTGTCCTAGGCTTTTGAAGTCTCGTGTTTGCTCTTCCACTTTCTACTGACTACAGTGCCCAGCAGCCACAGGTGGCTTCTGGCCATTCTAGTGGATGGCACAGATTTGGACAAACAGCTCTATGAGGGAACTTCAAAAGTTCATGGACAGTGGAACTAACTGATAACTGTATCTTGGTGCAAAAAAGAAAAATGGAAATCTATACAGACTTTTTTCATGATATATATTTCCATGAACTTTTTTGAAGATTTCCCTCCTATAAAAGCTTTAAAGTGGTTACAGATGGAGAAAGGGGAAGAAAAAAGACATGTGCTTAGTGGATAAAAAAAAAATCTGAGGTGAATAGCCTTCTAAGTGAAGGGTTGACCCTGATGGTGGAGATGGACAGTTTCTGTCTCCACTGAGGTTCACCCCATGCCAAGACCCCTCTCTGCACCCCCTCAAAAACTGGTTTACATTTTAGCTACGTGAGATACTTAATTGAATTCTAAGTAGGGGGAATGGAATCTTCACTGATAGGATAAATGTTTATCTGACCTCTTCCTTCATTTATTCAACAAATGCTAAATGCGGGACTTGGTCATCCCTGCTTCTCAGGAATGGGGTGAAGTTTGCACTAAATCCAGGTGCTGAGGTTATGATGATGATGATGACGACCCTCTCTTTGGGCTTGTCCTGAGACCTGGGAAGGAGCTAGTTGATCCATCAGCATCCCTTGTAGTCCTTTGGTCCCTTGGGTTAGCCACTGGATGCTGCCTGTTACTGCACACCATAACCTTTACAGAAGGAAATGGCTTTGAGAAGTTAGAGTAAAAGCTGGTCAAGAGGAGAAGTTATGGTGTCTGTTTCCAGAAGAGGTAGAAGTTGGATGTTGCTGTCATAGTCACTCCAGTCATCCCATCATGACCCAAGAGGGAGGCACTGTGTGGAGATCAGACACCAGGGAGCTCAGTGTTTGCCCGCAGTGGCTTTGCTACCTTGTGCAAGTCTGCAGACTTCTCTGAAATTTCCTATTCTGCCTTCCCTACTTGCAAAGGATTATTACAAAAGTCAGATGAGCTGATGGAGTTACATGTGCTCATAAAATATCAGGTCCTTCTTACTATGTTTGATTTACTGATCCTTTCTGAGCACCAAATTATTTGCTAGATGGTCGATTCCAGCACTCCCATGGGATTAAGTTGATTTAAGGATGGTGGGGAGCTTCTATGGGGTCTGGGGATTGTCCACATCCTCTCTGTGTGGCATTTAATCTGAGATCATTATTCTACCAGGTGGAGATTAGAAATATTAGGGGTTTTTTGTTTGTTTGTTCTTGAGAATGTTGTTTTTATGAGATGTGGCCCAGACCAGTCTTGGCATTCTATAGCCGAATAATCTTGGTGTCGGATAAGTGAGTCCCTCTACAGCCTTGCAACCCAGAGTTAGGCTGCAAGCCAGCAGGTTAGCACCGCCAATAGAAAATCAGGTGTTCCAGGTCTCAGTCCACATTTGGACAGAATCCCAGGTAATACCTTCATACTTTAAAGTTTAAGAAGCAGTGCTGTGCGGTATCCCAACTAGAAATCGTCCCAGCAGCCTCTGCGTCAGCAGCTGCTCTGGCAGGCAACATACTTCCTCTTGACACAGCCTTGCATTGTTGGACAGCTCTCACTTGTAGAAAGTGTTTCTTTCCGGCAGCTCAAAATCTGTCTGTTGGCTGTTACTCCTTCAAGCTGCCCAGAATCTGTTTTCTGTCTTCTGAAAACCATAGGTGTTTAGAAATGTCCATTTCTTTCCTCTATTACATGGAAGCCTTAACCCAGAGGCCAGGTGGATGGTGAATGGAGCCCCACAGGACTGGCTCCTGGGTACCGGGCAAAGGCCTGCAGCTGCTGGGACGTTACAGCAGGAGCGTGCAGTGTCTCAGTCGGTGCTGTCTCTTCCATCAAGCCCACCAGAGGCCAAGGGGACTGGTCTGACTGATTGTGGTTTGGAAGGGGTTTGGAGAACTTGAAAGAAACTCTTCACAGAACAAGAATTTGGAAGTGATGCCTGCTCTGGAAATTGGTCCTGCAGGGCAGGCAGAAGGGTGAGAGCATTGGCAGCAGAAGTGAGCAGGAGAGGTGGTGTGGAAAGAGCACCCAGAGCTGCTTTGCCTCTTGGTAGCGGGAGGACACTGCAGAAGGTGCTAAACCCCTCTGAGCACCAGCTTCCTACACTCTTAAAGAAAACGGGATGATAAAGGTTGTCCTGCCTGGCTGCAACTTCTGAGGCAGTCACTGGCGATTGTGTCCGTGAGCACTCCTGATAGAGTGGGAGATGGTCTGGGAATGAAAAAGAAGTCGAGGAAGCCAGGAGACAAGGCTACCTCTGACTTCTTATGTGACGTCAGGGGAGCCCTCGCCCTCCACGGCCCCCTCTGTAAAGTAGGTGGGTCATGCTGAAAAGATTCCAAAGTTCCCTTCTAGAAGACCTTGGAGTCGCTGCAGCCTGTTGCTATCATTACACTTGACCTGGAGGACTTCTCCATGGATGGCTCTTTCAGTAGAGCTTGGAATCAAATCCTCCCTGGGAGAAGTGATTCCAAACACCCTTCCAAGGAAGGCCTGGCCTCTACATGGGCGGCTTTTTAACAGGCAGGTCTGCTTGGCCATGATTGCACCTGTTTTCATGTCAGCATGTGGCACCTGGGCTGGTGGTGTTGGGCGACAGTTTCATTTCTACATCTGTGTCAAGATGCATGGTTCTACTTCTGGAAGGAAGCTCTGCTCTGAGAGCTGTTGTCAGCTCACCTCCTACCTCACTGGCATTTGGCAGGGTAGATTGTTCCAGAGCAATGGTTTTGTATGTATACTTAAGATATTGCCTAGGAGACTCTCTCTTTTTTGGTTATGAATGCTGAAACATGGCAGACCTAATAGGTTTGTGAGCCTGCCCCGACCGAGGCTCCCATTCAACAAACAACAGAAAGTGGTATTTGGGGTAACAGCCATTCCCTAGACACCTGCTAGCTGAGAGTGAGGGGACCAGTGTGTGTGACTTCTAGAGGGCCGTGTCCGTTCTTTAAGGCAGCCCTTGTGTGTCTCTGCCCATGTGGGGACCCTGTGTTGTCCATTCTCACCTCACTGCAGCCATGCTTCCAACTCCCCATTCCATTGCTTGGACGCTCGCTTCTAACTCTGCTCATTGGCGTTTCCTCCTGTGCACCCACCGTGCTGTTGTGGAAGCTCCATGGCCCTGGGCCGTGAGTATCTGGTGTCCTCCAAGTGTGGCGGTGTGGTACGTGTATTTGCTCACGCTTTTATTTTGAATCCTTTCCAATGTGACATCTGCTAAAATGTCTCCCTTATAATTTGCTTGGTGATCACAGCCTTCTCATCATTCATTGAGAGCAGGACCTGATCTCACAGAATCTGAAAAGAGCTATGTGGTAAGATGCCTGTTGCATAAGACTGTAGCTTTCCTAAAGACAATCCTTACTGCCTTCCGGAGCCGAGACTAGAGTAATGCCTGGGTCACTCACAGAGCCCTCCGCGGCTACTGTGGCAGAGAGAGGTGCTAGGCCACTGCTTCCCCCTCAGAGAAAGCAGAGGGACGTAGAAACAAAGCTTCCACTCTGCCTCCATGTGGGATTAACGTGTTAGTGCATGACTGGGGGTACGTACTTGCATTTCTAGCCTGAGATTATTCCATTTGTAACAGTTACTCACTAATTACAGGCTTTTATGCTGCTGCCTTTTTTTAAAATAGTCAAACTAAATCCCAAATTCTTCTGTATCTTACCTGTTTTTCCATGCTTACGCCTGGATCCCTCCTGCACTTCACTACTGGACTATCTGGTTTTTTTTTTTAACCTGGATCTTCAACTCTATTTTTTCCCTGGATTTATGTGCTTCATCTGGAATGTTACATCTCTTCCTCTTTTTTTTTTTTTTTGTCCCCACATTGACTGTTTTATGGGGGTTTCTGGATGTCTCGGGGCCACCTCGCAGGAAGCAGTTTGCAATGAGATCATAAACATTGCCGAAAAATCTGTTCATTACTGCAGCACTGTCTCTCATCCCCTTGACTTTCATCACACGGTTTCCCCTTCTGACAATAAATCATCTTTAATCATTTCTCAGCAACCTCAAGCCCAGCAGCGAAGAGTCACCCCAGACAGAAGTCAAACACCACAAGATTCGTAAGTACACCTGGCAAATTTCCATGCTCTTCCACTGCCCCTGGGGGCCGCAGTTACGGGGATGAGGGAGCCCCTCCCTGTTTCTCTGAGGGTTTCTAGTTAAGGCCGTGTTTCCCATCAGCCAATATGAAAACAGGTGACAGGTAAATACAGGAGGCTGCAGGTTATTGGGAGAGAGAAACAGGTAAAGAGCGAACTGACATGCGAGTTAAAATAGGAGCTGTGTGGTTGCAGTCTTAGTGTGTGGGGAAGGGAGGGGACAGAGCAGTTCATTCTGGTCAGAAATGAACAGGGTTGGTTCCTTCCTTCATTCAAAAAGAAGTTATTGGCTGCCTCCTATGTTTTAAGGATTAAGTAGCAAATTGTTCACAGAGGAATGGGCATTTGAATCAGATATGAACAGACAAATTACATCTTTTGTTAAAGTGTTTTTCATTTTAAAGGTAGAGTAAGAGAGAAAGAAAGTGAGTGAGCGAGCCTGAAGCCTGGAACCCCGTCCAGGTTTCCAGTGTGATTACAGGGGTCCAAGCATTGGGCCCTCTTCCTCTGCTTTCCGATGAGCACTAACAGGGAGCTGGATCAGAAGTGGAGCACCTGGGACACGAACTGGCACCCATATGGGATGTTAGCATTGGAGGAGGCAGCTTAACCCACTGCGCCACAATGCTAACCCTCCCCCCGCCCCACATTGCATATTGAGAGCTAGAATGGGAAGATCTTACTGGCTGAAAAGCCTGCATATGCAAAGCATGGTGATGGTGGTCTTTGGAAACTTGAAGAAGGTTGGTGTGGCCCCTGCATAGGGCTTGGGAGGAGATAGAGACAAAGGCAAGTAGTAGGATGGGGCCAGATGGCAGGATCTAGAATGCAGCTGAAATAAGTTGGATTTTGTTCAGCAAGCAGTAGGGAGCCACTGTGGGCTTTTGATTTTATTTTGTTTTAGGGAGATAATTCTGGCAATGGAGTGGAAAGTAGATTTTAGAGACAAAGGACAGAGCTGTTGATTAATCCAGCCACGGAGTGTTGAGGGCCTAAGCTAGGACAGAGTGGGTGCTTTGTAGCCATGGAAGTAAACAGAGATACAGGGCAAGGAGGAATGGCCAGCATGGGAGACTGAACTGGAGCAGCAAGAGTTGCAGACATGGCTGTAGGCCCACTCACTTTCCCAGAACAGAGCAGGCAGCATCTGGTGAGTGGTGCCACCTGCTCAGAGAAGCCGCAAGCAGGAAATGAGAAATGTCCATTGGGCAGTCTGTTTGGCAACTGGGAAGAATCACTGGTGACCACTGATAGAGCTCTGCTCTGTTAGTGAGAGTTGATGAGTAAGTGGGAAGGGTGAGGGGCTGTGGATCAAGGAATGGCAGGTAGGAGGGTGGCTATTTTTAGGGTGCAGAGATTCAGGCACCTTTGTGCTAGAGGAGCAGGTGACAGTGTTGAGAGATGCAAATAAAAAGAAATAAGGGGAGGAGGCCTCCAGACAGTGCGGTTCAATGAGGCCAGCAACAGGCATCCTGCTTTTTGCCTGTAGGAACAGGGCAGGAAGGTAAGTGGGTACATAGAGACTCAAATCTGAAGTGAGACAGATTAAGGTGCAACCCATAGCAAACATCTGGCTCAGGAAGTGGGGAGCAGAGTGAAGTGGGGCACCAGCACTGGCAAGGGCCAGGGGCGGGGGAAGGTCTCATGGGGACAGTATCCTGAACTGTGTGAGACCTATCCAAAATTAGAGCTGGTTGGGGAACCCAAGCAGCAAGGGTGCAGGACTTTGTCCAGCCAGCCCCCGCTACCTGAGAGTGAAAACAGGAAGGCAGGTGCCGGGAGTTATTTCCCAGAGACGTGGCTGGCGCTGTAGCCATGGTGGAAGTTCTGGCGACGAGGCATCGTAAGACGTTACCGAGGGTTTGTGTTGGACAGCTGGGTGTAGGACTCCAGTGGGCAGATAGAGAAAGTGAAAGCTTGCTTTTGTTCCCAACTGGAAATCCATCTGCAGCCCATCTCTTAATTCCATATTAGAGACCTCTGGCAGCCAGAGCCGTCCACCAAAGTGTCAGTGCACTGGGGTAAATTTGTGAAGTGAAGCTGTGCCTTTGGTTTTAGAATGAACCTCTTGTTTCGGGAACTCACTGACAGTTATTGGATGCGTGGCCCCTTTGCAAACTTTTGCCTGTTATTGTGATGTTTCAAAATAGTAAACAGATGGGGCCCCTGAAGTATTTGTTGAAGGGATAAACAAAAACAAAGCTTTTCCTTGATGCCAAAGCAGATATCAGATTTCATCAGCACAGCAGCTGTTGTTGGAACGGACAGAACGGCCCGGGCCAAATGCTTTAGGCCAACTAGCAAGTAAACAGGAGTCTCAACCTCCACGGATCACTGTGATGGGCAAAAGAGCAAAAGGCTTTCAGGAGTTTCAGAAAAATGACATCTACTTTTAAAAGCAGTTAATGAAATGTATTTAGATATGTTTAAAAAAAAAAAAACAGGTAGTTTTGCTAAACAGTGAGGCAATTGGAATGTACTTTTTATACCTTTATCTCTATATATTTTTAAATGCTTATTTACTTTCTTTTTACACTTGCCTGATGTTCTCTAATGTAAATGACTGCAATGTAATATCCCTGGGTTTAAGCAATTTCTGATTGTCTTAAATAATCTACCTGTATTATCCTATGTTGAGAAAAAGACTTGGTTTATGTTAAAGATGGAGATGGCGAAGGGGTGCTCTAGACAAGACAGTTTGGCTGTGGCAACCAAATGAACTTGCTTGTCAGGAGTTCCCCAAGTCTCAGTGAACTTAAATGTTGAATGCTTCTCTCCAAATGCTGTTAGAGAAATAGCTGATGAAACCGTTATCACCTCTGTGGAGTGGAAAATACCACTTAAATGGTGGCTTCACAGCAATAGCATTTGAAAACTCATCATTTAGTTCTAGAGCGCTTGAGTCACTTGTTCATTTTTTTTTCATTTTTAGATTTAGCTACCAAGCGTTATATAGCTATATACCACAGAATGATGACGAGTTGGAACTCCGCGATGGAGATATTGTTGATGTCATGGAGAAATGTGACGATGGCTGGTTTGTTGGTAAGAATCCCACCATGCTTTTCATATTAGCTCTGTATTGAAAGAATCGCTGGGAGTGACGAGCCACACAAACAGCAGATCTGTGCCTGGAGGAGCCTTCTCAGCTCCTGTACCCCACCAGGAATGCCAGGTCAACCCGGTCTGCTGCTGCATTCACTTTCAGACGTGACCCACCATGTTGCATGGAAGGGCAAGTGTCAAAATCCATTAGTATTTCTATTATGCATATGTCCATTTACACTGGGGTGTTTTACTGTTAAAGCTGTATGGTACAACACACGAAAAATGTGACCAAGCCTGGGTCACTACTGTGAAACTCAGACATGTGGGGGATATTCCAAAGACCTTCTTATTTACTCTAAGTCGCTAGTAACTTTAGTCAGAGCAACCTGCTTAACTAAAACAAAGGATTCTCCTTTATAGGAAGGAGAGAGAAAGATGAACATTCATTGAGAATCTGTTACAAATGAGATACTGTGCATGATCATCATTTGTTGACATTCTCTCAACAAGTAACCTGTATGGCAAGATTATCCTCATTTAACAGATTGAAAAACTGAGGCCCAAAGAGGTTAGGTGACTTTTCCAGAAGTCACTCAGGTAGCAGATGATGTCAGGATTTGAACTCAGGCTGCCCACCTTAACTGAAGCCTGCATTCTTTATGCTCAATTATGAATCACATTGGGCATCAGGACCCACTCTTTGCCTTCCTTTTCTCCCGTATGGGTGATTTCACCCTCACCTTCCCAAGACCAGCACTTCCCTGATCTCTCTGGAAAAGCTTGTTAAAGTGCAGTAATGTCGGGGCTGGAGTAGTGAGACTAGCAAGGCCTCAGCATCAGTGGGAAGCCAGAAAGACCTGCTGTGGCTTCACCGGCTTCTTAGGAGACCCCCCCCCCAGGCCCCCAGGAGCCTGTGGCCCTCACTGCCCTGTGTCACTCTCTTCAGAAGAAAGGCAGATCTGAGAAGGCAGCAGCCACTCTAGGGCACTCTGTGGTCCAAGAGAGACTCAATCCAAGCCGTCTAAGAAATTTAAAACTTCCTAGAAGCCACGTTGAAAAAAGTCATTGAGAAACCAATGAAATTAATTCTAGTGTATTTCACAAACGAATGTGTTTGAAATATTATCATTTCAGCATGTCATCACTATAAAAATTGTTAGTAAGTTATTTTTCACTCTTTTCACATTGAATCTTTGAAATCCAGTGGGTAGCCATATTCCAGTTGCTCAGTAGTGGCACATGGCTTTCATATTAGTGCTGCTCTGGTTATGTCTTAGCTGCTAAACACAGTATGTATGAGGATTTGATGTGGGAAAAGGTATAGCAGTTCTCTGGCGGAAGCAACCCAGTTACTTCAAAAAGTGGCCTAGTGTTCACACTACCAATAAGTAGCCCATCGGAACTCGTTATCCACTTCCACAGAGAGAGGCACTGGCCAGCCCCATGAGCACAGACACGACGGTCCTTATGGCTCTGGGCTTCCCATTCAACGCTGTGCAGCATCTTGACCATCTTTCCTCAGGCTTCAGCTACATGCTTCAGGTGTCTTAGTTCTGACACATGTTGTAGAAGCTTCCCTTGGGGCTTTGTTCCCAACCCCCTGGTTGTGGCTCCGTGAGGTGTTGTGGTCCACAGGATTCTGAAGCCAAATCCAAGCTGCCTTGGAAAAAAAAGTGCAATGAGCAGACTGTGATGGCTGCTACTGAGAGGATGATGATGACCCGACATACATCTGCCACCGCTGCTTTAGAGAGGGAATCCCAAGAGAAGCAGTTCTGGCTGAGGGGCAGGGCAGGGTAGGGGCTGTGTGCTCCTGGCCCAGCAGGAACCCACCAAGGTTAGCTGGAGGAACTGCCCTTGGATGTGCAGTCACAGCAGCGGGCTTCTAGAAATCCTGCAGTCCAGAAATTCTGAAGTCCCGGCTCTCTTCTTGTACTGGGTTGAATGTCCCAGTTGCTCCGGAAAAGAAGTAGTAACGGACTGAGCAATGGGCTGTGAGTCAGAAACGCTGGGTTCAAACTGTACCTCTGATCCTTACTGAGACGTGGGACCTCGGGTATGTGACTCTCGGCTCTCTCAGCCTGGCCTTTCTCACCTGAAGACAGGGATATTAGAAATGCCTGCCTTGCTTACCACTCTGCATTATTTTGCAGCCTAAATGGGATAGGAGAGGGGAAAGTGCTTTGGAAACAAGCTGCAGGATTGTTACCAAGAGGCACCTGAGCAGAATCTACAGCAGTCTTTGAAGTCAAGTGTACTCATTTTGTGTGTGTGTGTTTATTTTACAGGTACTTCAAGGAGGACAAGGCAGTTTGGTACTTTTCCAGGCAACTATGTAAAACCTTTATATCTATAAGAAGACTGAAAGCCACAGAAATTATTTTTATTGGAAGATGAAGCATAATTCATGAACTGGTCTCTTTATTTAAACTTGAGTCAGTAGGAAAATCAGTGCAGTGGACGAAGTAAGAAACAAAGGAGAGGGACAGAGAAGTGTCTTGTTTAAAATCCATGCCTGCGTTTACTGTGCATCAGACAGGGCTGAACTGTGTTCTGAACAAAAAGAATTGAGGCAAATCCCATATTCACGTAGCTGCTTCTGGGAGCTGCTCCAGCCTTCACCTCCCTCCCACCTCCTGGGTAATCTGACCTGGAGTAGAACGATTAGCCAGAAATGCCTGCTGCTGCCCTGGCCTTAACTAGCTCCCATCTCAAAGAGTCCTTGAGCCTGAAGCAACCCTGGGAGCACGAGGCAGAAAAATCCCAGGCCATTTTCCAGAGGCTCCACGCCTGAGAATCCACCCGCTCCCCCAGCCTGTGTCCCCGGCCATCCTGGAATCAGTTGCTCGCCCGCACTGCTGGAGAACATTCTGGGCTGCTGCGGCAGCCTCTAAACAGTAGCAGAGGCCCCCGGACTGTACAAGACTGAGTCCCTCTTTGGGCCTGTTGAGGCTGGTGAGGAAGTGGAGGCACGAGGTAGGCGCCCGTGCATCAGCCTGTTGTGCCGCGTGGCCCCTGAGGGCCCTGCTGTTCAGACTGAAAAGCACATGACAGTTGCCCTTGGGAACTGAGAAGTAGGTGGCCAGGCAGGCAGGTTACCTTTGTATTTCCAAATTTTTTAGCCAAGGAGCCCTGGGGCTTGAATTACTTGCACTGTGTTCCTGTCTCATATCACTGGCTTTTCAGAACGGCCGCCCTGGGGGCAGTGCGGCTGCCTTTATCAGAGCACCACTGCTAACCTCTTTTTGGCATGCTGGGACAGTTTGGGGATTCAGAGGCCCATTGCCATAGAAAATGGAGAATGATGTTCAGTGATTCATTTAATATGCACATGCGTGCTGGCTGCTGGGGAGGCTGGCGAACAAGACATGCCCCAGGCTCACAAGGCACTTGCTGCATCTCCAGTTTTACCCTTCACCCACTGTGGGAACTCTAGGACCACTCACATTCAGTGCCCAGGGTCGTGAATCTAAGGTACCCTGGTGCAGCGTCTCTCCAGAGCACAGGCCCTGGGTGTGTGTGAAGCAGGGATTCTGCTGTGTCCTTCGTGGGGCCTGGGTCCCAGGAACAAGGCTCTGGTGACACCTGGGGTACTTAGTCACATCTCTGACCACCTCCAGGATGTTCACTGGCCTCTGCTGGATCCTTTAGTGGGTCGCAGAGAGAAATGCTCCACGCCTTGCTCCCTGCCCCCCACCCCGTCCCGCCCGCAGAAGCCAGGGATGATTAGAGAGACAAAGAAAAAAAGAACTGAACCGAGAAAGACCGTGCTACGTGCTCAGAAGGGTGCGAGAGAGGAAGAGGGGGGTTTCTCTGGAGGGATCCTAGAAAGCCTTGTCATATTTCTGTATCCATGTGTTCACTTTGAGTAACTAGGACGCTGGAAGAACATTGGTCTGAGAGTAGTTTATTGTTGGGAATACTTGGAACTTTTTCCAAAGTCTCCAAACACTCATCCTCCCCACAAAGACACATTCAAAGCCTCAAGTCAGAGTAGAAATCCTGGGTGGTGGGAGTGTGTACCGGCAGCCAAGGCTGCCTGCACATGGTTCCCAGTTGCCCCATCATCTGGAGTCCTTACAGATGGACAGAATTTGTGTTCAGTGCCTCTGCCTTGGCCACTGTCCCAGATACCCAGTTTAGGACCCCACCAGCCCTCTTCCAATCCCCCCCTCCCCCATCCCCTGTAGCCATTTTCCCCTCACTTTCTCCTTATGCTTCTTTCAAGTCCTGTTCTCAGGAGAGACTGCCACTGATTCATTCACACTAAAGTGTAACTGACTGATCAGAAGAATGTGTTACCTCTTCCTGGAGGCATTTGTTTTTAACTGGGATGGAGCAGAGTCTTAATCCCAAGGGGAAAGGCTGTAGAACTAGGGGTGGGAGGAGGGGGTCCCTGGGTAGGATCCAGAGACATGAGGGCTCTTGCTTTGGAAGGTGGGTCTACTCTACGACCCAGAAGCACTGTTCTCTGACTTTCTCTCTCTTGGAGGGGACATAGGAAAAATGCATATGCACGCGCGTTGTGCACGCAGCGTTTCTCACTCATTTTGGAATGTAATTCTTGCATTGGCTAACGTGTTTCCTGGTCTTTCTCAGATGCAAACCATTAATAACACGATCTTACAAGTTTTTTGAGGGGTGCTTCTTGATTAAGTAGGTAATTTTGAACACCTCTTTAAATACAGCTAGAAAATAAAACCAATTTGTAAAGCCACATTTGCATATGACTGCAGCCTCACGCATTTGTATATCTCCAGAAATCCAGGTCTCCCTCACCAATTTGCCCTTTAATAAAATCTTATGTTACAGTTTGCATCACTTCAGCTTCCTATGTATGACTAAACAAGGAACAGAGGTTACCGATTGCTCTTTTGTCTTCAGACATTTAGTAATATAAAGTACCTATTTTTATGCTGAAATGTTTATACAGGTTTAATAATAGCAAGTGCAACTAACTGGCGCCTGCCTTGCAACACGTTTTGATATTTTAGCCATGCTTCCTGGTAAGGCAAGCCCCAAATTACTTATCTTTTGCAGTCTCTCTGGGATCAGTGAAAGAAAAAAATATCATGTGTTTTAGAAGTGGGACTGTAAATATGTATATTGAACTTTGTATAGCCCATGTACCTACCTTGTATAAAAGAATAATTTTAAAATTTGAACGGAAGGGGGCAAGATGAGGAAGTCATGAAGTTTTTTTGCATTTTTATTTAAATGAAGGAACTCCAAATAACTCACTTGGCAAATTTTTAGCACAAAAAATAGCCATTGTAAAGTGTTAACATTTATAGTAATCATTCTTTTGGGGAGAGAAGGTAACCATAACCTCAGTTACAGGTTTGTTTGATTTTTTAAAAATTTTCTGGTTTTTTTTTTTTTTTTTTAGGTTTTTTTTTTTTTTTTTTTTGCAATCCTATTTATCTGCAGTACTATTAAGTCCTATTACTAGGCTAGGTTACTATGAAAGATTATATTCTGAAGGAAAAATAACTGACATTAGGTATAACCAATTAATTTAAAGTATCACCATTTAAATTATACACTGAGAGCATGTACTATGCAGACACAGATTTTTCTGTTCATTTATTTTTCTTATTGCAGTGCATTGATTTGATAAATGTGTTGAATTCTGACATTTGCTGTACATACTATTTAATAAACTTTATGCTGAATTGCGTGGCATAGGTTTGTTCTTGCCACTCCTTGTTTCTTCCCTTCCCTTGCTCAGTCTTCTCAACTGATGCTGGTGTTCACTGCCTCAGTTTCTCACCCTGTCCTTCTCTTAATCACTCACCGTCTACCTTCCACTCCCTCCATGAAGGCTCTGTGACCCACCCAAAAGAGTGGGCCTGCCGCCTGGTGCTTCCCAGAAAGCACACCAGGAGGAGGGGCTGAGCAAGGACTTGACTAGCAGCGGCAGGGAGTAATGTGCCCAGCCAGCAGGGTAAGTGGGTGACTTTGGTTTGAGAAATGAGTCCGGAGGAGGGGCGGGTACAAGTCCACGCAGGTGCAGTTCAGAAACGCAAGTTAACACAGGCCGCCTGCTGGGGTAATAAGGCTTAAGCTCCTCCTGGGGCGGAGAGCCTGTAAAATGAAGTGAAAGGTGACCGTTTTGACCCATGTGCGCAGGGTCTGCCAGGCCAGTGCGGCTGGGGATTGCATCTCTCCCTGGAATGTGACTGAAAACCTGAAAGACAGCTTCGCGGAGAACATCAGGTGCTTTCAGGGTCTTGAAATAGCAGTGAGTCGCAGTAAAGACTGGCGCTGCCGTGGGCCTTAGCCACTGACAAAATCAGGCCTTCTCTGCTCTTTCCTCAGTGGCCTTATTTCCTGACCCTCCATGTTATTTGCTGACTACTGGCCGTGCTACTATTCTTTCTGAAATAGGTTTTCATTTGTTGATAAAGTAATGCTCATATGTCTCCAAAAACAAAAATGAAACACTATAAAATATGTGCAGTCGGTCTTGATTTGGGCTGCTAGGCGTGGGCGTAGGAAATGACTCAGCACTTAGTTTCTTCTAAACCTAATTAGCTCTAGCTGTGCGTCTTCTCTTACTGTCATGGTTGAAAATGCAGCGTGTCCTTTGTTCCCTCCAATCCAAGAGTGGCGAGGCCCTGGGTGTCCAGTCTTCCCTGGCATCCCATGGCCATGACCACCACATTGAACACCCCCAACCTTCACCCTCCTTGCATTCTGTCCTCCAGCTGAAAGCACCAGTTTGCAGTGCCAATTCTAGGTTAACTCAGGAGGCTTTGGCCTCCCATGGGCCTAGGATCGTTTTCCAGGGGTCTGACAGTCAGCTTCGGACCCTGAGTTACAGATGGAAATAACCTTTCTCTTGTGCCCTCCATGCTCTCCAGTTTCATATTCCACTCATGACCCAGCCCGTGTTGTCATCGAAGTCATTTTCTCTCACCTAGATCATTGCAACAGCTCTCTAAGCGGTTTCACTGCTTCTGCCCTTGTCTCCACTCTAGTCTTGGCAGATTGATGACTCCAAGTTGGGCCAGAGGTCCTCAGTGGCTTCTCATCTCATCCATGGTGGTACAGTGGCCTCAAGTCCATACGCTGTCCATACTGTCTCTCCCCCTCCCTTACATGTGACCTCATCTGCTAATTTCTTATTATTTCTTCTAGCCCCAGGTCTTCCTTGTAGCCTCAAACTCCAAGCATACTTCAGCTTTAGGGCTGGAAAACCCTTTCTTCACCTCTTCCCCGCACAAGCCCCACAAGACCTTCTGTCTCTCCTCCTTTAAGTCATTATGTTGCCTTCTCAATGAGTCTTTCTCTGGTCACTTCACATACAACAGGACTCTAGTGTTCCCACCTGCAGTATTCTGTCCCCTTCCTCCTCCTTAGTGTTTGACCATAACACTTATCACCAGCTGATATTTGTCTTCACAGAACAATCCTAGAAGATCATGAGGGTAGTGCTTCTGTTTTAGAGTGGCTGAGACCACCCTCAGTCCTTTGTTGATGAAATGGAAGAGTGAATGGATGAACTCCTGAGACCAGAGAACCTGGAACTCCGAATACGTACTAATAAATAAGGGAAACATGCCATTGTCTTAGGGAACAGAGGCTAATCTGTCAAGTTGTGCTGCACTCATACACACACAGAAAGTGAAAGTTGCTGGGAATCGCACTCACCTGCCCCCAGAGAGCACTGCTGAAGCCTGTGTGTCCCTCTGAGCTTGCTTAGGCCCACAATAAACATGTGGCTCTAAACAAGTGCTTTTCCTAGTCTTAGACGTTTTTCACTCCATAGAACCTGGACATGTTTCCAACGTTTATTTAGCCACTCCCCTATTGATGATGCAAACATTTGGGATTATTGCCAGCTTTTTATCACAACAAACAATGCTGCCTGTAATAAAATTACTGACTCAAGGAGCAAGAACCTTTCAATTCTTAGATTGCCAAATGTCCTTCCCTTTGTACCAATTTACACTCCTGCTGAGTCCATAGGAGTTTTTCCCACCTCCCGATTGAAACGCCTCTGTTGTCAGCTTCCATGCAGTGCTGCTCCATGGTTCGCCTGCCTTTGGCTGGCCATCCGCTTCTTAGTTCTCTTTCTAGGTCTGCTACATCCTCAGCTTTCTGTTATTTCCTCTTAACACATGCTGCCTCAGGGAGCAGCTTCCTCACCTTAAAATCGTGGCCCTAAGATGGAATCCTATGAGAGGGCTGTTTCAATAATTAAGTAGCAAAGATCTAATGCTGCTGCCATTTGTGGAGGCATACCAAAAGGAGTTGGCAGCAGCCCTGGGCAGGAGTGAATCCTGAGGCTCAAACTTCCTCCACCTGTATTTGTATTAATTTTGGCTCTGCTGGTTGTTCGGCCACATTTTTACCTACTGAATGAGGCATGGAAGGCTTGGCTGTAGGCAGCTCCAGTTTGTGATTCCAATTCCTGACCCCAGAGCCCAGAGGCAAAAGGGCCTTCCCATTTGGCTTCCTTTGGAAATAATTTCAGACCCCGACATTCCCAACCTAGATACTTACCTTTCCCTGGACTAACCACTTTGGCCAGAGGGGGTGGAATATGATGGGCAGCCCCACCAAAGCCTCATGGAATGGGCGGAAGGGAGGTGCAGGGAGGAGGTGTACTGCTATAGGAAGGGAAGAAGGAAGCTGGGTGGATGACAAGGCTGTGGGCCACGGACTCAGAGTCACTGTACGCTGGAACGGAACCATCCTGTCCTGATGCAGCTGAATGCAAGCTACACGCTGAAGCTCTGTTAGTCAACATCTTGGGAGAAAAAGTGGAAGAGGATGGCTGTCCAGTGGAGGGGGCCAAAATGACCATGGGGGCACAGCACAGATACATCACACACTAAAAATATCAGGACTTTTCTGAAAGTGAACAAAAATTAGCGTTTCAGAAGTCACAGGTGGTGGTGGGGGGAGGTGGCGGCGTTGTGTCATAAAAGGTTAAGCTGCTGCCTGCAACACTGGCATCCCTTATGGGCACTGGTTCGAGTTCTGGTTGCTCCATTTCTGATCCAGCTCCCTTTTAATGCATCTGGGAAAGCAGCAGAAGATGGCCCAAGAGCTTGGGCCCCTATACCCAGATGCGAGACCTGGATGAAGCTACTGGCTCTGACCTGGCCCAGCCCCAACCGTTGTGGCTATTTGGGAAGTGAACTAGCAGATGGAAGATTCTCTTAACTGCCTTTCAAAGAAATAAATAAAGTTGTAGAGGGTATTTGGATGAGTTGTGCATGGGTGTATTTGCTAAGTCTTGGCATGTAGCAATCAAGCCAGTCTGAGGAACACTCAGCCAACACTTTTCGGACATATGAAGACACATGAGAGAAGTGACCACCTGAGGGGCCTGCACTACTTACAATGCTGGTGCCCATGTCACAGTGCCAGTTTAAGCCCTGGCTGCTCTGCTTCCAATCCAGCTTCTGCCAATGTACCTGGGAAGGCAGCAGAAGACCCAAGTATTTGGGCCCCCGCTCATATGGGGTAAGGTAGCTAGCTGAGCTGGAGGTCACAAACTACAAGGCCATGCCTCGTGAAATTCTATCCTTTTTGTCCATCAGAATACCCCCTTTCCCAGATGCCTAGGGAAGGGTACAGTGTAAATATGGGTATTAAGCCCCATGTGGAATTTTATGGAGGTGTCATAAACTTCCCAGATGACCACAGCACCTCATAAAAGGAGACACTGGGAGGTGGGGAGGGTGTCCCCTCTCTACTTTCCTTCCCCCACCCCCTTATCTCTCTGGCCCACTCTACGTCCCTGTGTGCATGTTTGCTTTCTTACCTTTTAAATAAACGTTATTTTGTGCACTGTATATGTGCCTGTGCTTAAATTTTTTTTTTTTTTTTGTAAAAGGTAAGGACCTGGATTAAAAATTAAACCCCGGCCGACGCCGCGGCTCACTAGGCTAATCCTCCGCCTTGCGGCGCCGGCACACTGGGTTCTAGTCCCGGTCGGGGCGCCAGATTCTGTCCCGGTTGCCCCTCTTCCAGGCCAGCTCTCTGCTGTGGCCCAGGAGTGCAGTGGAGGATGGCCTAAGTGCTTGGGCCCTGCACCCCATGGGAGACCAGGAAAAGCACCTGGCTCCTGGCTCCTGCCTTTGGATCAGCGCGGTGCGCCGGCTGCAGCGCGCCAGCCGTGGCGGCCATTGGAGGGTGAACCAACGGCAAAAGGAAGACCTTTCTCTCTGTCTCTCTCTCTCACTGTCCACTCTGCCTGTCAAAACAAAACAAAACAAAAAAAAAGTGGAAAAAAAAAATTAAACCCCACTCCTCACATATCACTGCCACCCACATGGGAGACCTGAACAGAGATCCTGGCTCTTGGCTTCAGCCTGGTCGGGTCCTGGCTGTTAGTGGTCATTTGGAAGAGTGAACCAGCAGATGGAAGATCTCTTTCTCTTTTTCTGTCACTCTGCCTTTCAGATAAATAAATCTTTTTTTTTTTTTGAAGTTATCACTTGATCGAGGTAAGAGAAAATGAGGCTCTGCCAGAACAGTTGATATGGAGTTGGTCAGGAAATCCTAAGAGAGAAAGGCTGGATGAGACAGGGAAGGGGGGAACCCAGGAAGACACAGCATAGAGCAGTGAAGAGCTGCAGAAAGACACACGATGGGTGGAAAGTTAAGCTTTAATTCAGGGGGCACAAAAGGGTCAATGCAGAGCAGGATCAGGCCCCACAGAGAAG